GGGGTAATAATTGAAAAATAGGTGATGTCCGAAGACATTACCATTATTATTACATACATACATTATTATTGCTAACCACAAGCAAAATTATCTATGTAAAATTCCGTGGTTCTTACTTTGAAAATGACGGACTTCTATGCACCCTTTAGCATACACGTTACCTCGCTCCCGGGTGTTCAAATATGTAACAATTGGTCACTCAGTACAAGTAATTAGATGTATTTATTAATAAGTGAAGCAAAAACTTTGTCCTCTTTATAAGGAAATTGCGCGGACGGAGGAGTATGAAATTTCCCACACTTATAGAGAATATAGAGAAGAAATGCAGGATGAAATTTTTTTTTAATTATGCATTAATAATGCAATAAAACAATAACAAAAATGTTACACACACTACCGTGTATTTGACACACACACATATATAATATAATATATTCTTTGTTTAACTTTTGTTATTGCTTAAAGTATGTGGTCAAATTGAGAATAGCTTAATATTGTTTATGTTTAATATTTTGCCTAAAGTGTAGTCTTGGCGAAATCTGTGATTATAGAAATATAATAAATAATCTTTGACAATAGAACCATAATAATGTTCAAACTTTTTTTTTTTTTCGACTACTGCGGAACCACCAGTATATATTAATTTACACAAGTTGATAGATAAATGTCATTCTTTCTATCGTTTGCAAAGATGTGTTTGGGAAACAAATATTTTGAGAAAATGGTACGAGGCCCATCATATGATTAAAAGAATATAAATAGTTTTGAAACTTAGACCACAAAACTTCCATATTTTCCCCTTTTTCCTACAATAATAACTAGATTTTTTTTAAGCTTATGTAATATCGAATTTATTACGTGAACAATAAATGTTCAGGTTCTTTTCAACAAGTTCACGGTCTACGGGGAGTCCGTAGTAACGTCTTGTGTTAAAGAAAATTACAATTCCGAATTCTGTCGAGTTCCAGATCTTTCTGAAATCAAACAAAGTTATTTGGAAAACATGTCTTTGCAGATGGCATTATGATGTTACGGCTCTTCGAGATGGTAAATGAGTAAAAAGTGGAAACTTTGTCAGGCGGAACACTGTCTCAGAAAAGATACACTCCTTAGATTATCGGTTAAACGCTGTAAAGGTGTCGATATGAATAAATAACACAAACAAGTGAATACAGAATGTTTTTTTTTTTAAATAAATGGTATAAAAATAAGAGGCAATAAAATTTTGAAATCAGTATGCTATCAACGCGCGAAGTGAACCCACCAGAATAATTTGATAATAACAGTCTGTCACTTTAAAATAAAATAATGTAGGTATTGTTTCGGTCATTATAAAGATATGTACGTATACTGATGTAAATAAGCAAAGGCTCACTTTTTCACATAAAAAACGACAGCAAAAGGCCATCTAAAACAGCCTTCACTTATTCTTTTTTTCGATGCTGTATTTTCTGTATCTTATATTCATGTCACATACAAAAAATAATGAGCAAATTCATAAGAACTTTTTGTACTTTAAGCGTGTGAACAAGAATCCTCTGTACGTTTTAAACAAGTCTGCAGTAGACGCTCTTAATTCAAAATATTAGAGACTAGCCGTACTCGCCCGCTTCGCTGGGCATTTAAAATTAACATTATTATTTATTGTCATTATTATTAGGGAGTCCAACACTTATATAAATATTAGCCTATGCATTAAGCACATGTACTTTCTACATGGATACCAAGTTTCAAGTCAATCGGATGCATGGTTCAGTAGTATAACGGTTCAGTAATATAGTGATATGTATAATATGTATATATTTATGTATATCTATATATTTATGTATATGTATTTATTTAAGTACACGTATTTGTATCTATAAATATTATGTATGTTATATATACACATATGTTTAAGTAATATCACCTTCACACTACACCTACCAAGGTTCATCTCTGCACTCCCCTAAGGTAGACTGTTAGAGAATGCCTATGGCATTAAGTCCGCCTTTATACTTGTAGTTGATATACGTGTACTGTGATATACTTGTATACGTATATAAAGTTATGAATAAATAAATAACGGAACATCCGTAAAAACCACTGTAGATTTATATATTAGTATAGATTGTTTTGAGCGTAAATGCGAATGGGACTGAGAAAAGGATAAACTTATTGACTTACTCCGTAGTTCGTTGATACACACTTGAATTTTCTCACTTGTGTGAGTTTATGTGCTGATTGATCAACAATAATCACAAATTTTAAATTTTTACGCACGCTTCGCTTCGGCGCGTAGGTTTTTCTTGGAGTGTCAAAAGATGGCTTGGATGGTGAATTGAGGAAGGAATACGGAAAAGGAAGTCCTAACAAAAATGATAGAAGTAAGTACAAATAGTTATTCCTATTATACCGACCTATGCCATAAAAGTAGGCCTAGTTTTAGTCAGATCTATTGCTTTAGCTTAGCTTAGAGCTGTTGTTTTTAACTAGTGTAAGGTTGGTTGTCAAATAACTTGAGTATAAATTTATGATGTTAGAATTAGAAAATGCATGCCATATGGCAACACTATTGGTGGAAGCAATGGCAGCAGTGGGGACGAGACATAATAAAAAGGCGGTAGTCGAAAAAAAGAAAAAAAATAGCGGTGCATACTATAGTGAGCACATATCCAAAAGTTGTAAAGTGGATTTAAAAATAAACGAGGACAGAATCAAGTGAACTACTGAAGTCGTCGTGGCCTTTTTATTTTTTTTTACCTACCTATGCTGATAGCCTTGAGAGGCTATTTCAGCTTCACCCTAACGTTTGTAGGTGAGCTCGCGGGGCTCAACCGGAGAGTTGCTTACACTGACCCTAGCAAGAGCAGTGCTTCGCAGAATCTACCACCGGATCGGAAACGCGACCCACTGAGAAGATCCGGCGAGAAACTCAGTGGGCTGTGTCTACGGGTTAGTTCGCTCGTCGAGCCTCGAGCTCGACGAGGACGGTGACCGGTGCTTGTGGTGCCTAAAAGCACCGTTAATGGATCAGGAGGATCCGTAATGACGTGCTTTGGGCGACGTCGACGGTTTACCATTCGGTCTACTGGGTCAGGTATATAATTTCCAGCGGCTACGATGAGAGGGTTCTCATGTCGTGCCGCCTTCTCAAAATGGCGCAGCGATGCTGACTGCAGATACTTACTAACTGAATCGAGCTCCAGGTCATCGTGGAGATCCACGTTCCTAAGGAACCAAGGCGCTCCGACGGCTATCCTGCAGAATCGGGATTGAATAACCTGAAGGGATTTCAAGTGGGTGCGGGCTACGTGAGCGAACACTACGCTTGCATACGTCATGACGGGGCGTCTACAAGTTTTGTAGAGAGTTACCTTATTGCGGAGGGACAGTTTGCTTCGACTACAAAGCATTGGATAGAGTCGTCCTAGAATAAACGCGGCGCGGTCGCGTACCGTTTTTATATGGGGACGGAATCTCATCCCTCTGTCGAGGGTGACGCCTAGATATTTGACCTTCGAGGCCCACGGTATGGGCTGGCCAAAGAGAGTGATGGGGCTAACGGCGGAGGTGTTTGCGCGCCTACTACGGAGTGGGATGCTCGAAGTGATGTTCGGAGGGCGACCCCTTTTGAAGAGCACCGCTGTGCTTTTCGTGGGGTTGATGTCAATTCGCCGCTTCCGGAACCACTGTCCCATGGTGGCTACTGCGATCTGGAGTCGCCGATGAAGCAGCGACATCTCCCTACACGAGTAGTGTCGTGGCCTAAAGAATCAAGTGAACTACTGAAGTCGTCGTGGCCTTAAGAATCAAGTGAACTACTGAAGTCGTCGTGGCCTAAAGGATAAGATGTCCGATGCATTCGTATGAAGCCATGCACCGGTGTTGGAATCCCGCAGGCGGGTACCAATTTTTCTAATGAAATACGTACTCAAGAAATGTTCACGATTGACTTCCACAGTGAAGGAATAACATCGTGTAATAAAAAATCAAAAACCCGCAAAATTTTAATTTGCGTAATCACTGGTGGTAGAACCTCTTGGGAGTCCGCACGGGTAGGTACCACCACCCCGCCTAATTCCGCCGTGAAGCAGTAATGCGTGTCGGTTCGAAGGGTGGGGTAGCCGTTGTAACTACACTGAGACCTTAGAACTTATATCTCGAGGTGGGTGGCGCATTTACGTTGTAGATGTCTATGGGCTCCAGTAACCACTTAACATCAGGTGGGCTGTGAGCTCGTCCAACCATATAAGCAATAAAATAAATAAATAAAACCGCAATCTGTGTGTTATTTCCTGACTGTTGGAAGTGGAACTCTACACTAGAATATCCGTTATATTATAATGTATATATCCGTTATATATTTGACCTCGTGTCTCAAGAGGAGTCTCAGCATTCACACGGGTAGAGTTGTTAAATAATAGTTTCACGATAAAAATAAATAGTATACAGGCGATAGAGTTCCGCGCGTGCGCACAACCACACACCTCTAGTTGTACACACAAAAGCATTTGTAAATGCAAATTTAGTTTTATCTCCTCTTTATCTATTCATTGCAGGCTAGCATTAGTAAATTTCCCTGCATTCTTGTTATGCAAAACGGTAAATACGGTGACGTGGAACGCGTTTTGCATACAATTATTGACTTCGAAACTGTTCGGGTTAGAGTATTCTATTGTGCAAATGGACGGCTACTATTAAGCAGTTACAAGCATATTCCAAAGCATCAATGCGTACAAAGTAATAGCCAACTGACTTCATTACAAGATGGTGTTCATCTTGAAACATTTCGTGTTTATCGTGAAGCAGTAATGCGTTTCGGTTTGAAGGGTAAGGCAGCCGTTGTAACTATACATGAGACCTTAGAACTTATATCTCAACGTGGGTGGCGCATTTACGTTGTAGATGTCTATGGGCTCCAGTAACCACTTGACACCAGGTGGGCTGTGAGATCGTCCACCCATATAAGCAATAAATAAAAAAAAACAGATCGCCGTGGATCAAAAAGTAGTACGTACCTTGAAGGAAATTGACGGTTTTGCACATGACCTCACCGAAGTACCACAGCAGGGTCACTGACTTGGCAATCTGCACTGGCATGCAGAACAAGGTCACCAGGAGATCAGCAACCGAAAGGTTCACAAGGAAAATGTTTGTTACGCTGAAACAAAGATAATATTATCTTTTAGTTATTTTTCGAAAATGTTGTTGTAACGCCAGGGAAGGCTTCTAGATAATACAAACAAAGCAAGTGTCATGAGAAACCAATTTAAAACCATGTGTATTATACATATTTGTTCCACTAAAGCTTTGCTGTATAAAAGATATTAAATTTAATTTAATATTGATAAAATAAGTGACAATAAAACCTTGGAGTCTTAGTTATTATTTCGAACGGGCGTGAGAATTCGGTACGCGCGTGCTAATATTATTATTCTTATACATACATCGTATAAAAGAACAAAACGTAAGCAAAATGATCAATTCAATTGTATTTATGTGTACAACAACAAAAGCAATTTTACATTACAATATTATTTTCTTCGAAAAAATAAAACGCAGCACTGTCTTAGCTCAATACAAAACAAAGCTTTTGATAATTACAGAACAAAAGGTTTGAATCTGAGAATAAAATGTTTGTTTTAATAAAAAAAGTTCAGTGGCTATACCGAAGGGAGTTATTTCAACGGAGCAATTTAGTTAGAATGGTTCAAATCTTCAGATGGCTTTTTTGTGGTCTATGTAAGCAAGTACTTGTTAATCCTAACGATATAGGTATTTTAACTTAAATAAACATATGAGTTTAACACTTTTGGAAAGTTTAACGACAAAGGGAAGATCTTCCACCGAGCGGGTGATATTGCTCGGTAGACCGACGGTCCTAATGTTGTTGTTCGGAACTTGTATACATGCGCTTTATCTTGAAAATGTCGTAAGCGAGATTCAGGCATCTGTCAATTATCTTACGTTGTATGATGGCTACCCGCCACACATTTGATTAGCTATAAAACAATTACAGAAAATTATACTAGTCTATTCATCTTCTAATCAATCGCTGTCTACTTAATTATCACGTAAATTGCATCAACATCTTTATCATATAGATTTGTTAACTCATTTCTACTGCTTTTGTTTCTAAGCTGTGACGTGACATCAATGAAGACTGGATGATATCAGATTAAGTTAAAGAAAAAGATAACCCAGCTGAATTAGCGCTATGACATGTCCTTCTTAAAACGAGGCTTGTGGAGAGTATTAAGCGGTAGGCAGCGGCTTGGCTCTGCCCCTGGCATTGCTGAAGTCCATGGGCGACGGTAACCACTCACCATCAGGTGGGCCGTATGCTCGTCTGTCTACAAGGGCAAAAAAAAATGTTTTGCCCGTTCGTTTCAAAAATGCGATTCTTATTGAAACCAGGGCTAAAATTTACCCCGGGACTGAGCAGACGTATTTAGAATCATGTAAGTTGAAATGAGTTTTCTTTATTATTTTCTCGTGTTGGAGATCTCTTGGATTAATCAACTCAATATGTTAGGAACTTTGACCGTTAAACTGCTTAAAAGGTGATGGTAAAGTTCGTGGTCTAATGAGTAAGGCGACTGGTGCACTCGTACCAAATAATTGTGATTACCTTTGGACCGACATGCATCAATTTTTAAAAGAAAAAATCAGAGACAGAACGCTGCCGAACGTGGAGGCCGATTGTGCCTCTTTGTCGCTCGTTGCGCGCTCTCGCTTGCACTTCAAGCCTTAAATGGAACGCCACAATGAGTCACGTTTTTTCGTGCGTGCAGCCGGCTCCATCGAATTATAAGACGTCACGTCAAAAAATACGCTACTAGCACGTGCTCAAGAATATCTTCCACCGTGAAGAAATAATATTGCAATAATTGACTCCCCCAGATAAAAAGGCATAATTACTCTTACATGCTATGCCACCCATGACCGAACACTATGGAGGAAAGTCACATGTGGTCGCGATCCTCAGCAGTGAGGGAACGATTAAAAAGAGAAGAGATTCTTACATTTGGAATTTGCTCGGGTGGACACCATTCGAATAGAAAAACAACCGTTTTCTACGACGTGTCTCAAAAAATTAATGTTCCGACACTAATAGTTTCCACAATTAACGCCAGGGTAATCGTCAGTTTGTCGGTCCGTGTACAGAAGTTAAAATGAAACAAAAGTTGATTAAGCGTAACTAGATGATGACCGGTTTTTTTTTTTGATAATGCCATCTTGTAAAGCGGTTAGTTGCCCTCAATTAAGAAAAATAATATTATTATTCGCCAATAGATGTCGGGAAGAGTCATAAAGTTGATTATTGAAAACACGAATAAAACAACATTTTCTGAAAATAAATCGTCTAGAGCTAGATCGATTTATCGCCCCCGAAATCCCCTGTATACTAAATTTTATGAAAATCGTTGGAGCCGTTTCCGAGATTCAGATTATATATATACAAGAATTGCTCGTTTAAAGGTATAAAATAAACACAACGTCTAGTCTTTCTTCGTCGCTTTCTTCATTACTGTAGGTCGCGTCCTTGAAAAATGTTTTTATGTTTGAAATATTACTGGTGGTCCTCAACCCTCAGACACAGCCCACTGAGTTTCTCGCCGGGTCTTCTCAGTGGGCCGCGTTTCCGATCCGGTGGTAGATTCTGCGAAGCACGGCTCTTGCTAGGGTTCGTGTTAGCAACGTCGTCAGGTTTGAGCCCCGTGAGCTCACCTACTAGTTAAGGTTACGCTGAAATAGCCTCTCAAGGCTCTCAGGTTAAGTAGGAAAAAATAAATAAAAAGGTGGTCCTGAGGCCTTTCCAGTTTCACCGGGACAGGTGGGCGAGCAAAGGCTCAGCCAAGCAAAGGCTCAGCCGTCCAGGCCTTAAAACTTGACCGTGCTCTGTCTCGCGAGCTACTTCCATTTCGTCTGGTCCTCAGCTTCTCGTAGGGCGATTCCGACTGGCAGTTCAGTTAGGGTGGTTATTTGGTCTTCATTCCTTCCATCTTACCCGTCACAATCACTTTGTATAAGTTATCCGACTGTCGGCGGGAAATGTGACCGAAGTAGCTGAGAATCTTCTGGTGGCAGATTGTTAGGAGCTTGACTCGGATGCGAAGCTGATCCAGAATAGACTGTGTGTGCTAACTAAATCCAAATTACCTTAAAATACTGGTCGCTTCCGAACATTCTAGAACTGATAGTTTTAGTTCACGTTAAAAACTACAACAATAAGTGTTTTGTTATTTAAGCAACAACAATTAGGGCCAGCCTGCCCACTGAGTTTCTCGCCGGATCTTCTCAGTGGGTCGCGTTTCCGATCCGGTGGTAGATTCTGCGAAGTACTGCTCTTGCTAGGGTCAGTGTTAGCAACTCTCTGGTTTGAGCTCCGCGAACTCACCTACACACGCTAGGGTAAGCTGAAATAGCCTCTCAAGGCTATCAGCATAGGTAGGAAAAAAAAAAAGGCCAGCCTAGACAAAATTTTAACCCAACTTAAGCTCACAAAGCGACATACTTGAAATTAAAGTAAATAACACAAAGAGATGGGTTCTATGAATTCCTGCTTTTAGTTAATGTTTAGTCAAAGAAACTATATAGCTATCATTAGCTTTAAAATCTAAGCACGCTGTAAAATAACTATATTTGAAGATATGCAAGTAAGATATTAAATTATTTACTTAAAATATATATTAAATAAATTATCTGGGTGACCGATTAAACAGGCTTCGTGAATTAATAACTCGAAGAGCCCTATCGAAAGTAAATTGTTTAGTAAACTTAGCGCCACAGGCTGCAGATATTATAAGAGATTTATTAAACAAACCTTTTCCAAAACACGAGACGTTTCTTGAAACATTTAGACAAGTTACAAAGTTTTGCTAAAACTTATCGTGATCGTACAAATTGATAGAATCAATTTCGGGAGCACTGCTTTAAATTTACTCACACTTGAAAACAATACAAGCTGAACATCAAAATTGTATAAATAATAATACTTTTTACTGGTTATAGGACCTCTTGTGAGTCCGCACGGGTAGGTACCACCGCCCTGCCTATTTCGGCCGTGAAGCAGTAATGCGTTTTGGGTACCAATTTTTCTAATGAAATACGTACTCAACAAATGTTCACGATTGACTTCCACGGTGAAGGAATAACATCGTGTAATAAAAATGAAACCCGCAAAATTATAATTTCCGTAATTTCTGGTGCTAGGACCTCTTGTGAGTCCGCACGGGTAGGTACCACCGCCCTGCCTATTTCGGCCGTGAAGCAGTAATGCGTTTCGGTTTGAAAGGTGGGGCAGCCGTTGTAACTATACTGAGATCTTAGAACTTATATCTCAAGGTGGGTGGCGCATTTACGTTGTAGATGTCCATGGGCTCCAGTAACCACTTAACACCAGGTGGGCTGTGAGCTCGTCCACCCATCTAAGCAATAAAAAATAAATAAATAAAACTTCACTTTTACATTTAGTTTTATATTTATATCATCATCATCATCATCATCATCTCAGCCTGTCCATTGTCCACTGCTGAACATAGGCCTCTCCAAGTGATCTCCAGTGCGGCCGGTCCGTTGCCACCTGCATCCAACGTGACCCAGCGGTTCTTACCAGGTCGTCGGTCCATCTCGTAGGTGGCCGTCCCACACTGCGCTTGCCAGTTTTATATAAAGGCTATAATTTAATTATTTTGTTTTTGCCAATCAAATATCTGATTCACTCATGTGCTGTTGTCATCTTGAATGTTATTTTTAATTTTCAGTTTAATTAAAACAACTTTTACGGCTTAAAACTCCCATTCTTTTTATTGTTATTCTATTATTTCTGATGTTTCGAATGTTTTACTTTACGGTTTTCATAGTCGCGAGAGACTCATCTAAAAGGAGATTAAACAAAAAATTATTTTTTTATTTTTTTTATGTTTATATCTCTTGAAAACCTGAGTCACGATTTCAGTTTATTTTATTGCGATATTGTTTTACTAATAACATAAAGGTGTTGAAATCTAGTTTAATGAAATACAGGTTATGAATGATAATAATATTTTAGCTTTGCTTCTGTTAACATTTTATCATAATTACGAATGTATCTGTAACTATTTGTAGGAATCCCATACGCTTATTTCCTCTTCAATTCACTTATTTCTTAGATGGGTG